CTATGTGCCACTTGAACTCTCTTCTCACAAGAAGAGGGCAGTTTTCCTTTTGCAGTGGGAGGGGGAGGGGAGGACTGCAGGATTAGAAAGAGAGACAGGAGGAGGGGAAGGAGGCAAGGAGGAAGGGAGCTGTGACTTGTCCAGCAGCATTTTTCATTCATCACAGAAGAGTGGACGAGTGCATTTTTCAAGCCCTGCTAATATGGTTCTTCAAGGTGAGTGAGAGATTTAAGGAGTGGTTTTAGCAGTGTCACTCTATGCCCCGCTCATGAATTTCTATGGTTGAGTGAGGATTCAAATGCAGTCCCCCTGAATTCTAGTTGATCACCCTATCACTGTACCACACTGGGTGTCCTGTTTTGCCAGTTGTTCTTGTTATGTGCTGTCAAATAAAAACTGATTTATAATAACCCTGACAGAATTTTCAAGGGAAGTATAGAATTTAAGGAGCCCTGTTACCAGTTCGACTTTCCTAGTGAGTTTCCACGGCTGAGAGGGGAATCAAAACCTGTTCTCCAGGATCCTAGTCCATCACTATATCTGCTACACACCATACTGAGTATACTGTTTTGCCATACATTCCTCCAATAAGAATGTTTTCTCTTTGAATTCCAATCTGTTTTTGCATCTGGTATAAAGAAGTTAACATTTATTAATCATTCTACCCCTATTTATGACTTTATTGGAAAATATTTTTTTTAGAAGCGAGGCAATATATGATGTGGACCATTTTGTAGATTTTTTGGGAAAACAATCTAATAAATTATAATTACAAACCCACCCACCCTCAGTAGTTTCGTATTTTGTACATAACTCTTTATTTCCTTATTATCTCAAAGGAATTAACATTGTTCCTTTCTGTTCTGTTAAAAAAATGCTGCAAACTACTGCCTCATGGTAGAAAACACACTGAAGAAATGAAACCATATGCTGTATCTATGAAAGTAAGTGAAAACAGGTTCAGTTACATAGCCAAAGATGTGAAGTTTTTCCTCATTATATTATGATTGCAATTGTAGGTTAATGGTACCTTGGTGATTGAAGAAAGGAATTGACTGCAAGGAATTCATTGCTTGCCAGCTCCAAATGTAAAGTAGGGTTACTTTACTGTACCGCACCTCAAAAAAGACACAATGGAACTGGAGAAGGTGCAGAAGAGAGTGACTAAAATGATTATTGGGCTGGGGCACCTCCCTTATGAGGAAAAGGTACAGCTTTTGAGACTGTTTAGTCTAGACTCAATCTCAATTATGTCTCCCCTCAAGCGCCTTTTCTCTAGACTCTAGAGAAAAGGTGCCTGAGTGGAGACATGATTGAGACATATAAAATTATGCAGGGGATGGATAAAGTGGATATAGGGAAGCTTTTTTTTCCTCTCACACAATACCAGAACCAGGGGACATCCACTCAAATTGAGTGTGAGAGACTGAGAATAGACAAAAGAAAATATTTCTTTACCCAGCGTGTTGTTAGTCTGTGGAATTCCTTGCCACAGGATGTGGTGATGGCATCTGGATTAGATGCCTTTAAAAGGGGATTGGGCAGATTCTTTGAGATAAAGTCCATTGCAGGTTACAAGTCATGATGGGGATGTATAATCTCCAGGCTTCAAAGGAAGGTACCTCCAAATGCCAGATGCAGGGGAGGGGTATTAGGAGAAAAGTATCTACAAGTTGTCTCATGTGGTCCCAGAGGCATCTGGTGGGGCCACTGTGAGATACAGGAAGCTGGACTAGATGGGCCCTTGCCTGATCTAGAAGGGCTCTTCTTGTGTTCTTATGTAGTCTGTAAAATCTCACCCATGAAATATACACATTAGTAGAGGCTAAAATAATTATTTAAGAACCAACTAACAGAAGTTATTTATTATGTTTGACTGGAAATAAGGAGATAGAGAAGGCTATAATAACTCCTGTTTTGGGAAATTTAGATTTGGATTTTAATTTGTTCTTTCATATGATGGCCAAAGTCCTGTTGCTTAGAGTAAGCCAAATTGTGACAACCAGTTCAATCCTCCAGAGTAAACAAACTGTTGCTGTAATCTCTGTGTATGTGTGTGGAGTCACACTGGCTTGGTGTATGTTGTGTACATCCCTGAGTATTGTGGCAGGAATGCTTTGTCTGCCAGGAAAGAATCAATGGGAAGTTATAATTTAGTTTATGCTAATCAACAGGAATTCAGCTGCTATGTATGATACAATGTGCATATTTTCATTATATCGCTCTATGATATAGCATTCCTCGAAATACTCCTTCCGCAAAGGAAGGGAATGTTGTGGTGCGCTAGCTCCTTGGATTTCTTTGATGAAAAAAGACACAAGGAAAGAGATACCTTGTTTAATTAAATATTGCTAAATTTTATGCATTTCTACTGTAGTTTGGAAACAGTCCCAAGGAGATTCCTTTCTGGTGTGCAACTTTCTTTTAAAACCCTGTATCATTCCCTTGCTGGGTACAACAACAACAACAACAACAACAACAACAACAACAACAACAACAACAACAACAACAACAACAACAACAACAACAACATAAGGAGAAGGAGAAGGAGAAGGAGAAGGAGAAGGAGAAGGAGAAGAATTTTGGGGTGGGTCGGAACAATGCAATAAATTGATGAATTTCTAATGCTATCTTCATTAGTTTAGAAGCTAGTTTACCTTATACACTAAAAATTGGCAATGCTTTTGATAAGCAAAACAATATTATTTCATTTTGCAAATTAAGCAATTTGACTGAATGCTGTTCCTCTCTTTCGGAAGAGAGGGTGCCTCTTGATATGTGATTTTCACCCAGAAAAAAGAAATCTCACTTTACAAAATGCATAAACTGCTTCCTTATTTATTTATTTATTTATTTATTTATTTATTTATTTATTTATTTATTTATTTATTTATTTATTTATTTATTTATTTAAAATTGCATATTACTTTTCCATCAAAGTGGCACTCAGATGACTAACTATAGTAAGCCCAAGGCAGAACAATTACAGATAACACCTAAAGCCGAATTAAAGAAATATATCAATAAAAAAGAAACAACAGATCAAATCAGGGAGAGCTCCACTGAACAGTACTCTCAGTTTAAAACCAGCTGCTATTACCTGACATGCCTCCAATAAGTCTCAGATGACAAGGATAACTAGAGAATGGCACCATTCTTTTTTATGAGAAGCTACTCCATTAACCCCCATCAACAAAGAACATTTCAAGCATCTTCCCCATTTGGCTGTCCATTAGGACAGTGAACCCTAAGGTAACAGTTGGCGGGCTTTATAAAAGTGTGTATGGTAAGCAGATCCTTAATACCTATGGGTTCTTCCTGATAGCAGCCCCACCATGTTGAAAAGGAAAGCTGTATTAAGCAGATGCTGTCTCAAGTCTTGTACTGTCTTCCACTAAAAGACAGGAAATGTTAAGAGACTGAAAATAATGAAACGTGTGATTGTTTAAGCAGCTATTCAAGGGGTATGCTTTTTGTGGTTTTCCTTCTACCAGAGACTGGATTGATTATTTCAACATTGGATGTGGCAACTGTGTTGTGTTGCATTCAGACCAGTCTCCGTTGTTATTCAGCCAATAAGGTCTTCTCTTTCCTGTCTTTTCCTATTTATTTTACCTTGAACAATCAGCTGTAACAATCTGCTCTTTTTGATTCCCATTCTGTGGCTAAAGTATTCTAGCTGTCTGCATTTGATGAGTTCTCTGATTTTGTGGTTATTGTCCATTTCTTTTCACGTGTCTTCATTGGTCACTCCTCTTAATAGAATAAATTTTTTGGCATCCTTTGATAAGGTCACATTTCAGATATTTCTATCTTTTTCTTTACTACCCTATATTAAAGTCTATGATTCCGGCAGCAGCTACGAAGTTGTCAGTTGTATTATATTTAAGTACACTCTTTTGGAACGGTAGTGGTGGTAATGAATGTTTACTTGTTGTGAATCTAAGGGATCAGATGAGATTTTTAGGCTATACATGGAAAATATGAAGCATTACATCTTGTAGGCAGATATCTTCTGCTATGTGACAGTCCAGCCTGCTGCCATATACAGTAATTATGCAATATTGTTTTGTTAATCTATTACTATGCATAGGGAACATTAATGTTTTGCAAGTTACATTCATGAGGTATTTTAATGTGCCGTGGCATGTTCTTCCTGTGAATGCTGAATACAAAACAGTGCCACAACCTCCTATTAGAATACATCATGAAAATGTGTGCTTACATGAATGTAAGGCTGTGTAAAAAGACTTTGTGAATTTCAATAAGATCTCTTCAGACCTTGTTTTCAGGTAAACAGTGGGACAGGACTATACAGCTTGCTTCTGCTCCTACTAGCACATATTCTTTTGAAGAGGAAGGTAGACACAGCAGCGGTGAGAAAGCGTGTTAATGAAGTTATAATTATCTCCCTACGTTCTAATATTTTTTATGTAGAACAATCTTCCTCAACCTGACTCACCTACCCTTGTGTTTTGAACTACAGCTCCTATTAGTCTTATCCAGCAGGGCCAGTGGAAAAGGCCAATGGGATTTATAGTCCAAAATATCTGGATGGGCTTTTGTTGGGAAAGGCCAAGTTAAAACTATTTTCAAAACTATTTATTCTTATTTTACAGACCAAAAAGCATTTTAACAAGGCATTGTGACAGGAGTTTCTCCTCAGTTCAGTTCCTTCTTACTAGGACAATTTGTACTGAGTGGTAGTGTCCTCTGCTTGTCTCCCAAAGGACACGTGATGTTATCTGTCACATGAACTAAAATTTATGAAGGAGATTTTTGAGCTAAACCTCTGAGTTCATTATTTCTCCTTGATTTGTTGTTGTTCCCATTCAGAAGGGAAGGTTAAAGATGCTCCAAACCAGCAGGAAAGATTCATACAGGCAGGATGGCTATACTGAATACCAAAATAATGTAAATATGCCATTTATCTATGCAAAATGGCCAGAGTGTCCTTGCTAATTTCCTTTCCCCTCACCTATTTCATTCTTCTCCCCTAGCATTTGGTTGCCTTGGATCCTCTTACGATGAATGAAGACAAAATAAGACCATCACTGGAAAAACGTTTAGAAGGAATTATCAGTGGTGCTGCTTTATTAGCTGATTCTTCGTGCACACGTGATCTGCACCGTGAGCGAATCATCACTGAGTGTAATGCTATTCGCCAGGCTCTCCAAGATCTCCTTTCAGAGTGCATGAATAATGTGAGTGATATATTTTTTTTTGCCCTTCTTATTTGTTAGCCTGTTTTTTCCATTGCTTTTTCTGTGACATTATTCCACAAGGCATTTGTATCTTTTGTCTTGTACTTTGATAGTCAAGTGTAGTCAAAAGTTTTCTGAGAAGTGTTTAGTTATTTATTGTCTGTTCTCAGAATGCTTGATGTGTTGTGCAAGTGGAAAATCAACATCAGTTGTGCAAAATGAATCAAGGGATGCTGTATTAATTTTGTCCTCTTCTGCCCACCCCAGCTACCAAGCTAAGATGGCCATTGGGTGGGACTGCCTCCTTTTAAAAATCTTGTCCTCCTAGTCCAGAGGTTTTAGGGTCCAGAGCAGTCCAGATAGATCCCTAGGGGAAATCCTCAGAACCAAGGCATGATGGAAAAGACAGTTTCTGAGTTCACCAATGTTCTGAAACAGATGGACTAAGAGGCTACCTTCCTATCATGCCTTGGTTCTGAGGGTCTCCCCTTGTAGTTGGCATGCAAGAAAAGAAGGAGGGGCTGCAGAGGAACACCTCTTTGATTCAGAGTGTGTGGCTTCTGTCACACGTTTCTCTTCTGATGTTTTGCACTGCAGGGACAGAAGGTTTGGGCTTTTTAAAAAGCCATTCAACATGTAGGAGGGTCCACTGAGGTAGTGGCTCAGCCATGGAGGTCACTGCCTTGTGTTGAGTTGCCCTATGTTGTAATCATAGCTTTGGGGTGCTAATTTTGGCTACCAGTAATTTAAAAAATTTGATGGGTTCAATAGTTATTATCTCCAGATGTTTTTGGACTTCAGATCCCAGAGGTCCCAGTCCACATGACCCAAGAGAATTATGGGAGTTGTAGTCTAAAATGTTTGCCTCAAGCAGGATTGAGACTGTAAAGTAAACTTCTATGAAGTGGAAGTTGCTGGCAATAAAAAAGTAGTAGAAAGACAGCTGTCAACAACTTCAGTAAATGAAATCATTCAGTGCAGTGTTTTATCTGGAGACCTCTGCATTGAGCAGATATGTTATTTTAATCTAAAGGCACTTAAGAAGTCAATTTGCCAATTAATTTTGTTGAGAAAGTATTGGCTTTTGTGCTGTGAAAAAATGTGAGGCTTTCTTGTTTTTCAGGAGCACAGACTGTTAATGCTAAATCTGTTTGTGTGTTGTCCCAGATATTTTCTTTTTCATAGAAAAATCATGTAGTGCTTTCAGTATTTATCAGCCAACATTTTGTTGGATTTTTACATAAGATTGTGCAGCTTGTGTGGTTGATGTGGTGACGGACTGCATTTCATCTGTGCAATTGGATGTGTGACCAAGCGTGCAACTGAAATGTGCCCCATCACCTCATCAGTTAGCCACAATTAGCCATAGCAAGTTACACAAATCTTCCACAAATATCAATAGGATTCTGGCCATCTTATAACTGTGTAAGTCAGCTACATCTTTTTTTAATACTCAACATGACAACTTTGTATTTAAAAATAAAAAGTATTTTTTCCTGTTGATCCTTTTTTTTCCTTTTGAGTCAAAGAAAGTGATTTTTTTGTGAACCATTATTGTATTGCTGATTAAGTCACATAGGTTTTTTTAAAAAAATAAGGTGAGTGATCATAGTTTTAAAGTACCTTTACAACTTCCATATCTACCTCAAAATACATCTACAAACGTTTTCCCATTATGTGATTCATATTTAACAAATGTACTACTGACCAATTGTTATTATTGCCATTGTGTTTATTTTGTTAATCAATTTTCATGCTGTCTGCCATATTTAAACAATATATCAGCATCTTAGATAATATTTATTACTTCTCCTGTATTGCTCTCAAGATGTGTGACATTTTGTGGGGTCAAAAAGGGCATGAAGCTGCCCCAATGGACTTACAATTTAAAATTCAGCACAGGAGAAGCAACAAACAAGAAGAGGGCATGGGTTAAGAGGAAGGATATGTATTATTATTTTAGCTGGAATTGTTTTAACTGTTTCTTTCCCTGAGGGTTGAATTATACATGAATTATTCATTACATACATTCCATAATGCTGGAACTGAATACAAGGCTTTGTTTGTGGGTCTGATTTCTCAGACACGAAGGCCTGTCTGAATCGGACGTCTGGAACACTAATATCATTTGAACTCATTGTCACTGTAATCTATAGTTTGTGTCTGTATCAAGATACACTTCTTCAAATAAACACTTCTCAGTTCTTTGGAGACAATGACCAGAATCTTATTGAGTGTTTAGGCTGGTGTAAATGTAATAACATAAATTCCAGTAGCTAATTCCTGGTACTTAACATGTCGCTCCCTTTCCTGGAGGCATGCCCATTGTGTGATTTGGCACATGCCCAGGAATGTGACAGGCAACTTATTAATTGGCGGCATTTCATAACTGCCATTTATGTAGTTATACCAGTGTAAATCCCCAATAGGATTCTTGCCACAACTTAGGATATTGGGATTCCTTGCCCTCATAGTGCCTTTGTTGTTAAAGTAGCTGAATGAATTGCAAAGGAACTTATTTAGTTTTCTGTGACGGTGAAGATACTACTACTTTGTGCTGATATCTGTTTGTAACCTTATTTTTATTTCATTTTAATTTATATGTATTTGTAATTCGAAGTGTTCTTAGTTTGCTGTTTTGCCCACTGTGGGTGCTCGGAGCAATGCACAATCAACAATTAAACAATACCACCTACCCCAAACAACCAATTAAAAGCCAAACATAGAGAACAAGTAATGTTCACTTTTATGCAAATAAAAATGCTGTTACCGTCTCAATGTTTGTCAGAGGATGCTACTGAAGAATTGCAGCTCTCTTTCACTGTTGGTTTTTAGAAAGCTAGTCAGGGGGATTCGCAAGCAGCAGGATGTAGGTCTTCCTGCATTGCATTTCAGGTCATGCTACTTCTCAGCATTCACGTGTTGGTTTGTAGAGCATTTGAACACTCACCCAAACCTCCTGTCAAGAAGCAACACTGTATTGGCAATGCTTTCATAACTAGGTTTCTTCCCCCCAGTTGTGCATTGCCGGAAGGCTCCCTCACTAGGAGGCTTTGTGGAAAGAACAGAAGGAATGCACTTACATTCTGAGAACAACCACCAAATTTCGTGTTTCTTCAACATCTGTGTTCCTGGCAGTTTTAATGAGCAATCCTACTTGAGGATATCTCTGTTTAGTACTTCTTCTGTGTACAATCTCAGCCATCCACTACATTATTACGGTAAACCAAAGTAGAATATTTAGAATAAAATTAATTTTTGAACAATTGTCTGGTATAATATTATTATTATTATTGGTAATCTTTTTAAAATTATCCAGCTATATGCCACAACATGGTTTTATTAATATTATCAAATATGTTATTCATTTTTGATGGTGATGCATAATGAATTTGTACATGAATCTGAAACATCTAGGCCTGCATGATATTTTCTTGGAATAGCATGGCACAATATTGTACAAAGATTAACTGAACGTAATTGGGAGGAAAAGTTTATTTGCCCCACATCTGACTAACTTTGAAAAATGTTGTGTACAGACTACTGGTATAAGCTGAGAAGTGCTTATTACTTTGACACTTACTGCACTTTTGTTATCTGTGGAAGAATTTGAAAGGTAGTCTTATGTCTTAATTAGATGGTCTTTTCATCAGCACACGCCTGTGTGCCTTCGTACACTTGGATGATCTTCTCTTTGCATACAAAGGCATTACTCAGTATTAGTTGTTGTTGTTAATCATTAAGTCAAGTCCGACTCTTTGTGACCCCATGGACCAGAGCACGCCAGGCCTTCCTGTCTTCCACTGCTTCCCGGAGATTGGTCAAATTCATGTTGGTAGCTTTGATGGCACTGTTCAACCATCTCTTCCTCTGTTGTCCCCTTCTTCTCTTGCCTTCACTCTTTCCCAACATCAGGGTCTTTTCCAGGGAGTCTTCTCATGAGATGGCCAAAGTATTGTTGCCTCAGCTTCAGGATCTGTCTGTCCTTCCAGTGAGCACTCCGGGTTGATTTCCTTCAGAATGGAAAGGTTTGTTCTCTTTGCAGTCCAGGAGACTCTTAAGAGTCTCTTCCAGCACCACAATTCAAAAGCATCAATTCAGCTTTCTTTATGGTCCAGCTCTTACTTCCATACATCGCTACTGGAAAAACCATAGCTTTGACTTTGTGGACCTTTGTCGGCAAGGTGATGTCTCTGCTTTTTAAGATGCTGTCTAGGTTTGTCATTGCTTTCCTCCCAAGAAGCAGGTGTCTTTTAATTTCGTCGCTGCTGTCACCATCTGCAGTGATCATGGAGGCCAAGAAGGTAAAATCTGTCACTGCCTCTATATCTTCCCCTTCTATTTGCCAGGAGGTGATGGGACCAGTGGCCATGATCTTAGTTTTTTTGACGTTGAGCTTCAGGCCATTTTTTTGCGCTCTCCTGTTTGACCCGCATTAAGAGGTTCTTTAATTCCTCCTCATTTTCTACTCAGTATTACTCAGCATCATTTGAGCACAGTGGCTCTGGTTGGTCAACGGGGAGACGGGAGAACTATAACAGGTCACATGGCCTCAACTTTATTTGGAACAAAACTGGCCACAACTTTATTGATTACAGCTCCCCAGAAGTCCTGATAGAGTATGGATGACCCATCAGGCAATCTGCTTACTGGCTTATGATAACTTGAGTAACAGAATTGGAGTTAACCATGTGAATTTGTGTCACTGGAAGGTGATGGAAGTGTGAAACATCTCTGAGCCAATAATGAAAGAGGCCAGCTCGGTGACTCTGGCTCTTTTTATACCCTCCAGATCAAGCCCTGCCTACTAGCTGGCCCTATTGATTGGCTTTGGAAGTGTAGAAAGCTCCTCCTTCCACGCAGAGCTTGCTGGGTCAAAGAAGGCAACCCCAACATGGCAGCCATCATGCCAATTTAGCCCTCCAGAGCACTGATAACAACAAAACTCAACTCTGATAAGTTGGGGACCACTGCTTATCAATATGTGTGGAAAAGTGTGA